CTCAGTCCAAGGGCAGATAGGCTGTGTTAACCCAGCATTGGACTCTCCTCGCAGTGCCCCGAGAACGACCGTTCAGGTAAGCCAACGGTCTTTATAAACAAAAATAGAACATGTTTGTATTCCCAAACTTAATTTCATTAAATGCAGTTTGAAAAATTAATATCCCAAATATAATTTAACATACAATTTAAAACATACATAACATTAATAAAAACATATAAAAAATTAAAAAGATTAAATATAAATAGAAAACTATAAAAAACTATAAAAAGTTCAGGAATGGACTTCCAGTTTGCTCGTAGGGCCGGTTTTAGCCCTCCGGAGCCTTCAGGGGCCTTCTGGAGACTTCCCTAAAGGCTTAGGAGGATGAAAAACGGCCCTATGGACAAACCGGAAGTGACTTCTGGTTTGCTCGTAGGGTCGTTTTTTGCCCTCCGAAGCCTTCCAGGAAGCCTGAAGGCCCTGAAAGCTCCGGAGGGCTAAAACCGACCCCACAAGCAAACCAGAAGTATGTTCCCAAAGTATGTTCTGGTTTGCCCGCACGGCCGGTTTTTCGCGCTACGGAGGCTTCAGGGAAGAAGAAGGCTGAAGTCAGCTGGCCAGTGTGCACATGCACAGTGGCCAGCTAACGGCAGCACCTCGGGTGCCCTGACAAATGGCTCCACGTTCCACCTGTGGCATGTGTGATGGTTCACCATCACGGCTCCAATAGAATCTAATTTCAGTTTCTGGAAAGTTTACAGCATACCCACATTTTTAAATAAAATATTTGTATAATATGTCTCAGACTATGTAAACTTTTAAGAGCAAAACCAAGATAAATAACAGAAAACAACCACATTTCAAATCTTAGCAATGTGATAGTTATACTTGTTCTATCTTTGTATTGTTGCACTCACCCACTTCCTGCCTGTATGTGCACTCACGTACGGTGCTAAAACTTACAGAGAAAGCAAAAGGGATGATCACTGAGAGAATATGAGCGTAATGACTACATGACCCTGTCATCAAGTAGTTAAAAGAGATGATGGGCAAATTTGGCCTTCTTCACACTTTCTAAGGTTAATGTGTAAGTTAGTTAATATCTATCTGGTGTGTGTGTATATATTTTCCTCCACCCCCCATCCCTCTGTTTCTCTCTCTTTCCCATCTATCTATCTGATTTTTTTTAACCTTTCTTTAGATAAGAAATGCAGAAACAAATCAGTGTCTAGATAATATGGCACGAAAAGAAAATGAAAAAGTTGGAATTTTTAATTGCCATGGAATGGGTGGTAATCAGGTAATAATAAAAATTTTGTTTTTATTATTTTTGAGAAGTAAATAATTTTAAACGATATATTTATATATCTTTATAATTAATCAATAATGGAGCTTATGCTGAAGAATCAATACAATACAATAGCAGAGTTGGAAGGGACCTTGGAGGTCTTCTAGTCCAACCCCCTGCCTAGGCAGAAAACCCTACACCGTGTCAGACAAATGGCTATCCAACATCCTCTTAAAGACTTACAGTGTTGCGGCATTCACAACCTCTGGAGGCAANTTGTTTTTAACATGTTGTAAGAAGCGCTTTTTGTTATTTTTCACTTCTGTCGCAAGACTTTCTTCATTGTGAGCCTTAGCTTTCCTCACTTCATCTTTACAGGCTCGGGCTATTTGCTGATATTTTGCCTTAGTTATGTCCTCCTCATTCCACTTTTTATACTCATCCTTTTTGTCTTTCAGAGAGTTCTTTATGCAGCCATGCTGGTTTCTTTTGGAGGTTGTTATTTTTCTTCTTGTGTATTGTGCTAGACTGGGCTTTTATAATCTCACTTTTCAAAATTTCCCAAGCTTCTTGGGTTGTTTTATCCTTGAGGATTCTCCTCCATGGAATCCTTCCCAAGCTCTAAGTTTATTGAAATTAGCTCTCTTAAAGTCCAAGACTCTAGTTTGACTTTGTTCTACTACTTGTGTTTGCATAATGTTGAATTCCAATATTGCATAATCACTTGCCCCCAGGGTTCCTATGGCTTCAACACCTTCTAGCATTTCCTCTCTGTTAGTGAGAATTAAGTCCAATATGGCTGATCCCCTTGTTCCCTTCTCTACTTTTTGGGAAACAAAGTTTTCTGCTAGGTTTGTTAGGAACCTGTTGGATCTTCCACTTGGTGCAGAGTTTGTTTCCCAGTTGATGTCAGGGTAGTTAAAATCCCCCATTACTATTGTGGTGTGCTTCCTACATACCTTAGTTACCTGACTAGCAAAAAGTTCATCTACTTCCTCTGCTTGGTTGGGTGCCCTATAATATAAAACTATAGCAATGTCGTTTTTTCACCCTTTTATATTCACACAAATGCATTCAAGGCAATTTTCATCATTGCTGTGTCCTATTTCTGTAGAGATGTAGTTATTTCTAATATATAGTGCAACTCCACCTCCTCTTTTATTTGGTCTATTTCTTTTAAATAATTTAAATCCTTCTAGCTGTATGTTCCATTTGTGGTTTCATCCCACCAAGTTGGGATGGCAACAATATCACATCTGCCCTCATTTACTTGAATTTCTAATTCACCCTGTTTATTCCTCATACTCTGTGCATTGGTGTATAGACATTTGAGTCCATTTTGATNCCACTAGGACTCCAAGATCTCTTTCACAGTTACTACAGTTGAGCAACGTACCACCTATACTGTACCTGTGCATTTCATTTTTGTTGCCTAAATTCCATTTTATGGAGAATCAGGATATGATCAGCTTTAAGCGAGTCACTGGTATGAATTTCCACAGGTGGTGGTTAGATTAAAGATTTTATCACAAATTAATTCAGATTGTTTCCAGAGTTAATTTGGCAGCATTGTTGCCTTCTCTTGAAGCCTTGAGTGATTTATGGAATATGGAAACATTGCATTTAGTCAATATTTTTGTGGCACTTCCAGCAAGATAACCCATGTAAGCTTGCATCTTGTGTGAAATAACGTTTTATATTTTAAATACACCTATGCCCCCACATACTATTGCATCATTAATATTTAAATTAATTACCATATCAAATAAGTAAACGCAGTTCATATTTCAGCTATATGGAATCCCAATTAATAGCCATCATTTCTAAAGCAATTGTCATCACTGATGTCAGTATAGACACTGCTAAAAAAAATCCCACTTTACACAATTTGTTAATGTTATGTCCTATTTTTGTTTAGAGTGAGTAAACATAATACAATACATTACAACAGCACAATTGTGCTCATAGAATTACAATTTTTAATATCATAGAAGAAAAAATAAATCTAGACAAACTTGAGAAATTTGAAAAATATTAGTTTATTGCCACTGGAAATTTCATAAATGTCATTGTTTAGGAATTGTTAAGTAGCAAAAAAGATTCATTTGGCTGGTGGTTTCCAAATATTTCATTAGGAGGAGGTTTTGTACTCAGATTTTATAATGAACTATCATACTGTAATCAAATATGGTTTTCTCTCAAGGTTTTCTCATACACAGCTAACAAGGAGATCCGAACAGATGATTTGTGCTTAGATGTCTCCAAACTTCATGGTCCAGTCACAATGCTCAAATGCCATCACTTAAAAGGCAATCAGCTTTGGGAGTATGATCCAGTGGTATGTGTCTTTATGACCCTTTTATTCTCTTGAGAAAATATCTGGTTATAACCAGAAAATAGAAGAAAAACATGGTTTTTGAAAGATATCCTGTCAATTTATTCCATAGCATCATGTGATTGCCACAAAGTCAGTGAGGAAATAGATCACAAGTCACTCTTGTAAGATGTTCTTTCTCCTGTTGCTTTATCTCCTGAAGAGCCCCCTCCTGAGAGCCGAGGTGGCGCAGTGGTTAGAGTGCTGTACTGCAGCCACTTCAGCTGACTGTTATCTGCAGTTCAGCGGTTCAAATCTCACCGGCTCAGCCTTCCGAGGTGGGTAAAATGAGGACCCAGACTGTGGGGGCTGAAAGCCCTATGAAGTGGTATATAAGTCAAACAAACAAACAAACAAACAAACAAACAAACAAACAAATAAATGTGATTTAATATCCAGTTCTCTTATCATCTTTGTTGCTCTTCTCTGCACTTTTTCTAGGGCCTTGGCATCTTTTTTGTATCATGGTGACAAAACTGTACACACTCCAAGTACGACCTCATTAGTGCAGTATAGAACGTACTATCACTTATCATGATCTTGTCGTGCCCTCTGTTGATGCAGCCTAAAATGTATTGGCTTGTCTGGAAGCTGCAGCACTTGCTGGCTCATACTTAAGTGGTAGTCTACTAGATTCCTCTCACAATTGAAACTTTTGATCCAAGTATCAACCTATTCTCCAAAATAACCTGTGCGAAGAGTCACTGATGGTATTCTCACGTCCAATCTGCCCAGAGACTGAGGTTAAATTTGAGGCCACTCCTCTCTACTTCCTCTTCCTGACTCTGCAAATTAATCTCAGTCTTGGCCCAATAAGAACTGTTTTTGCTGGCTCTTCGTTTGGACTTGAGAATATTAGATTTTTTCTCCCTTGATTCATCCCACCTTCCCTCCGTGCATCTATGTTTGTTATCTGTCTGCTGAGGCAGTAGCTGGGCTAGCTACAGTGAGTGTGGGAGCCTCCATACCGCTCGCCATTCTGGGGGCCGGCTCCTGGCTGTGTGCCAGAGGCGCTGTGGACCGTGACCCCGAATTTGTCTTGGGGGGGTTGCCAGATGGCTCGGAAGGTTTTTTTGGGAGGAGCAGCTCAGTCAGAGCAGCTCAGCAGTCGGACCGCATGGTCAGTGGCCATTTTGTGTGAGCAGCCATTTTGCGAGACGCACGTGGATGCAGAGAGAGGTTCGGCACTCCTGCTTCAGCTCGCCAATAGCTCTCGGAGGTTACTGCCGGTGCCTGGAGGTATTGGCTGGCCAGTACTCCACTGAAGATCGGGGAGGGATCTCAGATGTTTGGCGGGGGGCTGCTGATTTGAGCCGCAGATCGATGGCAGCATTTGCGTGGACGTGCCAGTTCAAAGGAGGCTCCGAACTGCACGCAAAGGCCCCAGGATGTCTGGAATTGAGGAGTGCAAAGATCTTCTACCGCGCGTAGCTGCGAGGGGAGAAGGTGGAAAATGGCGGATGCCATGAGGCGCAGGGAAGCGGCTGCCCCTGGATCACCAAGTGATTTCAGTCTGGATGAGGGGACCTCCCGGGGGGCTGCCCCATTAATGAGGGGGAAGTCCACCTCCAAGAAGAGTACCTCCATGTCTTCAAGAAAGCAAGCAGCAGGAACCTGACGTTCGCATCACCAGGGTGCTGGCAGGCAAATTAGGGATAGCACCAACCCCTCGCCATCCAGATCGCTTTCCCCCACAAGCCTTCTCCATTGGCTGAAGCCCAGCATCGTTCTCCAAGCTCCCTTCATGGGTCAGCTAGATAAGACAGCCCCTTGTCTCCCCCTCTTTCTCCTGCATAGTCTGCAGGTCCCCTCGGGGATCTTTTTGGCCATCTGGCAACCGGTTCCACTAGGCCTCATGTGGCTTCTCAGTCTGCAGCCTCCAGGCCTGAATTGGAGCCTCCTTGCCTCACCCCAGCTTTTTCAGAACTTCCTGAGAGTTTTCAGAATGTCAGGTCCATTGCTCAGGGGATTGCCATGGGGCTGCAACACAAATTTTAGTCTTCTAGACGAAGTTCCTCTCGTGGGACCCCATGAGGTAATCCAGACCAACTCGGCATTTTGACTGCTGGAAAGCACAGATCAGTTTCCCCTTCAACTGCTAGCGAGGGGTCTGGTTTGGAAGAGAAGGGACAAAAAGATATTGAGTTTTCTGAAGACGAGGACTCCCAGGTCCCAGAAGCACCTACTATGTCTGGTCTTTTCCCTCCTGCCTTATTTGGTTCCTTGCTGTGTAAGACCAAGGCCACAGCAGATCTGGGCAGCAGCCCCCCCCCCTCCCCCAGGTTCCTGCCATCCCTAGTACAAGTGGGGGGGACAAAGAAAGGGCCTTTTTACAAGCCTCAGGTAGAGGAGGAGGAGATCCCTACTCCAGATCTTTTCCTTGAGGTGCTCAAAACTCAGTGGGATAAGCCTGGGACTTTTCCCACACCAGGGAGTAATGATCGCAGATTTTATAATCTTAACGCTAGCTTCGCTCAAGCCTTGCAGGTTTCAACAGTGGATGTTCCGGTGACTGCTCTGACTTCCTCCTCTGAGATGGTAACAGGGGATATCTCCAACTATATGAAGGTGGAGGATAAGAAGGCGGAACTGGTCCTGCACAAGACTTTTCAGGCTGTGACATGGGCTTCTTTTTTCAATAGAACCACCTTGCTGTAGCTGGAACAACTCCGTGATAGGACCTCTGCTTCTGACGTTCGGTTGTTGCAGGACATTAAGAAGCTGATGGCGGCTACCCAGTTCTCGGCAGACGCCACATTGGATGCAGTTAAGTACTCTTCTAGGGCTCTGTCCTCCTCCGTGGCATCCAGCTGTCTCCTGTGACTTCGCAATTGGCAGGCTGAGACCAGAGCGAAATGGCATCTGGCAGCGGTAGAATATGCAGGAGACAAGCTGTTCGACGCTTCCCTTGACCCTATTCTAGTAGAGGACAAAAATAAGCGCAAGGTCTTCCCCTCCACAACCAAGCACTCAGATCAGCATCCTGTACCTTATCCCAGGAGGTCCTCCTATCGGCTCCTTGATCAGGACTTCCAGTAGCTGAGGTATTCTGCTCCCAAATACCCCAGGCAGGGAGATCGGCAATACTCTAGGGACAAGTACAGGTACCAGCAGCCCAGTAAGCGTTCCTTTTGAGGAGGGGGTGGCCATCCCTACCGCAGAAACAAGTGATTCGGGCTCGGATCACCCAATTGGCAGCCACCTTACCTTGTTTGCGGGTCGCTGGAACCACATCATCACTGATGCTTGGGTCCTTCATACCGTTAGGTTTGGGTTAAAGTTAGAGTTCTGTTCTCATCCCCGAATAGAGTCCGTCTCTCAGCTTCCTCTAGGAACCCGATCAAGAACAATCTCATGTGCAGGGCCATCCGGCATCTGCTGGATATCAAAACAGTGGAGCTGGTTCCAGCAGGAGAGATATGGTTGGGATTTTATTCCAACCTGTTTGTTGTTCCCAAGAGTTCAGGTGGATGGAGGGTGATTTTAGACCTGAAGCTGTTAAATTCTAGACTGGTCTATCACAAGTTTAAAATGGCATTCCTCAAATCCATCCTAGAGGGGATTAGGCAGGGGGATTTTCTGGCATCCATTGACCTCACAGAGGCATACCTCCATATCATGATTTCCTCAGATTACCGGAGGTTTCTAGGGTTTTCATATAGAGGGGTCTACGATCAAAACAGGGCCCTTTCTTTTGGTTTGGTGTCAGCCCATAGGACCTTTACCAAGGTACTGGCTGTTGCAGCCGGACATCTCTGTTCCATGCCGGTCAGATTGCAGTGCTACCTTTGTTTATTATTATTTTTTATTTCAGCTTTTCCCCCCAAAAGAATTATTTAGAAATTCAAATGTGGCTTTCAACAATGGAAGCATTGACACATTCAAATATTAGTAGTATGAAAAATATTATTAGATACAAAGACATCTTAGCAGTGCTACCTTGATGACATCCTGGTACAAGCTTTGACTGCAGACAGGGCAAGGGGAGATCTGGGTCGCACAATTAACACCTTGCAGACCCTGGGGTTCTCAATCAACCTTGAGAAAAGTCATCTGGTTCCCACCACTAGAATCCAACATTTGGGAGCAATTATCGACAAGGTGAGTGTGAGGTGTTCTTCTCCCAGGAGCGTAGGGACAGTATTGTGGGGTTGATTAAAGAGATTTGCAAGGCACATTCTATTCCCGTAGTTCTTATCTCTCGGCTCTTGGGCAAGTTCATCTCATGCATCTTGATAGTGCCATGGGCACACCTCCACACCAGGGAATTGCAGTGGTTGGTGCTTCCACACTAGAGGGACAGGACAAGCGACGCCCTCTTCAAGATCCTTGTGCCACCTCAGGTATTCCTGTCATTCTGTTGGTGGATGTACCCGGCACTGGCCAAGGGCTCCCTGTAGGGAGCCAGACAGGTTGGTCCTGATGACAGACGCAAATCTTTTCAGTTGGGGGGGCCCACCTGGAAGCCCAGTTAGCTCAGGGTCGGTGGACTCCCTCAGATCTACAAAAGAACATAAACTGGCTGGAGCTCAGAGCAGTATACCTGGCACTTCGCCACTTCAAGGGACAGTCAGAGGTCAACATGTCCTGGTCCTGACGGACAATGTTGCTGCCAAGGTCCATGTAAACAAGCAAGGGGGCACTCGCTCGTTGGCGCTGCGAGACAAAGCAGTACGGCTGGGAAACGGCAGAGCAGAATCTTCTGTCGATTCAAGCAGAGCACATTTCCGGGGTGGAAAACCAGCAGGCAGATTGGCTCATCAGGGAGACAGTAGGCCACAAGGAATGGCAACTTTATCCCATCGTTTTTGAGCAGATATGTCAGAGGTTCGGTCGGCCAACAGTGGACATCTTCACCACCCTGTCGAACGCCCAGGTCCGGGACTTCATCTCTCGATTCCTGACTCGAGGACCAGTGGATGTCGACGCCCTGTGTTGCAGATGGCTGGCGGACCACCACTACGCTTTCCCCCCTCTCTCCCTCCTTCCTGGGGTTCTGAGGAAGTTAGTGCTAGAGAGGGCGGAAGTGATTCTGGTAGCGCCCTATTGGCCCCAGCGACTCTGGTTCACAGACCTGGATCCAGATCAGTGCACAGATCAGTGCTTCTCCACTGGAGGATTCCACAGGGGTAAGTGGCTCTGCGCCAGGGGAGCCTGGTCCATCAGGAGCCAGAGTGGCTTCAGTTGAACGTTTGGCGCTTGAACAGGAGCAACTGAGAGCGGGCCATTTTTCAACCAGAGTGATCAAGACCATTGAGGCTTCCAGGAGGCAATCTACCACACACATTTATGATGCGACCTCGGCCTCCTTTGTGGCTTGGTGTCGGTCCACGCAGGTGGATCCAGCGTCAGCTTCGGTACCACAGATACTGGAGTTTCTCCAGGATGGCCTGGAGAAAGGCCTAACCCACAATACCTCAGAGACAGGTTTCGGCCCTGGCCACAGCCCTTGGAGGTGTGGGTTCTCGATCCCTAGCACACCACCCAGTCATTAAGCTGTTTCTCAGAGGGGCAGCTAATCTCAGGACCCCTGTGGTACACCAGTTCCCCACATGGGACCTTCCCACAGTACTTCAGGCACGATGGATGCTCTCTTTGAGCCTTTGAGAACAATGAATCTTCAGTTCATAACCCTTAAGGTTGTATTTCTGGTGGCGATTACCTCCGCCAGACGTATTTCCAAACTCAACACACTGTCTTCCAGGGCAAATCTGTACACATTTTATGACAAAAGAATCGTCCTCGAGCTTGACCCATCCTTCTTGCCCAAGGTTAACACTCTTTTCCATAGGGGAAAGGGAACGGTCCTGGCATTGCCTGGATATGTGGAGGGCACTCCTATCTATCTGAAACGCATTTCTCCACTCAGGAGGTCGGAGGCTCCTTTCAGCCCTCTACCCTTCGTTTCCTTTCAGCCCTCTACCCTAGGAGCAAAGGTATCACCTGCTACCATAGGCAAATGGATTCGGCTGGCCATCACTTGGGTATATGAGGCATGCAGGCTACTGGTGCCGCTGCATCATGGCACACTCCACCAGGAGTGCAGCCACGTCTGCGGCCTGGTCTACTCAGGTGCCCATTGGGGATATCTGTAGGGCTGCCATCTGGGCTACGCCCTCGCCTTTCATCAGGCATTACAGGCTGGATGCTTATGCTTCCACTGAGGCCTCTTTTGGTAGGAGGATACTTCAGGGAGTGCTAGACACTTGGGGGGCTCAGGCCAAATGATTCCCTCCCATGGACAGCTAGTTTTGGTATGTCCCATCAGTGATTCCTCCCACAGGTCACTTTGGAGAATGTCAGTTAGTCTTACCTGAACTGCATTTCTCAAAGGTCCTATGGGATGAGTCACTTCCCACCGTGTAATGCACTGGCTAGCGCAGAGGGTCCTGAACTTGGTTAGTGGCTTTGGTCAGTCAGGGACTGTGGGGTTTGGTGTTCTCTTCCCTATCCCCTTCCTTCCCATGTCCTGATTTTGGACTTTGACCTTCGATTAATCTGGAGAGCCAGGAAGAGGAAGTAGAGAGGAGTGGCCTCAAATTTAACCTCAGTCTCTGGGCAGATTGGATGTGAGAATACCCATCAGTGACTCATCTCACAGGACCTTTGAGAAATGCAGTTCAGGTAAGACCAACTGACATTCTATATATGTGAATTTTTTTCCTGCCTTACTTTTCAGCACTGAATTGCATCTTGAATAGGTCCCAGTGCTCAAATCTTTCAAATCTGAATCTTCAACCTACCTTCCAAAATGTTAACCACTCCCTCCAGCTTGTTGTCTGCAGATTTGATGAGCTCTCCTTCTATTCCTCATCTAGATCATTTATGAAGATATTGAAGAGCACTCGGCCGAAGGCAGAACTTCAGTCTATGTAGTTGTAGTTTTGCTGAGAGCTATATGTGGAATGCAGTTGCAGTCAATTGTGAAAGCATTTGGTGGTGGTAGTGTCTATTATATATTGTTCTGTCTTACCAAGGAGTAGGCTGTGGTCTACTTTGCCCAATGCCTTACTGAAGTCCAAGTGTACTATATTCACAGCATTTTCTTTGTTTGTTAATTTAGTCATTATCAAAGAGGTTATCCCAAAGTCTTGCCATCTTCTTCCAATAGTGGATCTAATGAGTTAACGGGATCTAAGAAGCTTGTTTTATGTCTGTGATGGTCAACTTATGGTATGTGTGCCAGAGGTGGAACCCTCTCTGTGGGCACGTGCATGATTGCCAGCTGCTCTTCGCGGGCACCAGAGCACTGGAAAATGGCCTGAAAACAGCCCAAAAAACAGTCTGAAAATGGCCAAAAAACTGGCATACGTGTGCAACCTAGTTGGTCCGGGTTTCCGGTGCTCTGGTGCACACACATGCAATGCATGTTTCAGTTTGGGCACTTGGTGCTGAAAAGTTTCTCCATCATTGTCCTATGCTATATAGAATTAAAGATCTTATACGCAGCACTAATTGAACACCTGACAATTGCAGGAGACTACCAGCAAATTGTGAAAGTTTTGTTTCAGCAACACTAGTACCTCTCATTCACTTATTCATTCAAGTGTTACATATCAAAGACCCTTCTTATCCATGGCTAGGTGATACCAAATAGTATGATAGCACTTGTACTATTCTTTTTTAGATGAATCCTAAGGGAATGGAAGGTAACATTTCAAACTTGTATTTCTTCTAGCTCTCTTTTATAAACAATGTTGAATTTTATCAGCTTGATTGCTGACTTACCCAACATTACACATTTGTTATATTGATAGAGATTCTCAGTCATCCAGGTCATAGTTGTCTCAAAGTTGTTTTTTCAAAAGGCAACTGGACTGTTTTTTTCCTTGAAGAAGAAGAACACAATGTTTTGCTTATCATCCAAGAAACTTCATCAGTTTTGATGGCAGTGTGGGAGGATAGGTAATGACAATTGAGACTGAATGGTGGGGGATGGAAGGATAGTTCTGACCAGATGGTGGGGTGGGGGAAAAGGAAGGATTGTATTTCTTTGCAGTCATCTGGTCATTAACACTCCCTGAGAGCTCTAGAGGACACTTGGGAGTTTATCATTTATTATGAACATTCATCAATATCTGATAGTTGTCCATCTTGTCAACATTCCATGATAATTCCATAAATAAGGGAAAACAAGCTTGATAGAAAAATGTTTTCAATTCTCCATTGCTTCACAATGTCTAACCATAAGAGACTGTATTGTGTTTAATGGTATCTTAATTATTTGATCTTATTTAGTAATGTTGGGTTAACACATTTTCTCTCTGTCTCTCTCTCTCTCCTCCCCCCTCTTTCTCTCCCTCTCCTTCTTTCATTCTCCACACATGCAATAAAGAAATTAATCCTGTTGCATGTGAACAGTAACCAATGTCTGGATAAAGCTACTGAAGAAGACAGCCAAGTGCCCAGTATCAAGGACTGTAATGGTAGCCGTTCACAGCAATGGCTTCTTCGTAATGTCACTCTTCTAGAAATATTCTGAAGGGTTTCTAAGGCAAGGATTGACTGGACTACCTCAGCGAGTGCATTTGCTATATTATGTACCAAGCAAAGGCTGCAAGTTGTTTGATCACTGGAGCAATCAGTTCTAAAGTTCTGAGAGCTGTGAACCAGCCATCCAGGTGTTGAAACATGGAGCTAACTAAAGGAGTACTTGTAATGCTTTATGCACTAATGTTTACAAGAAATCATTTTGTAGAACACATGGACAGTGGAAATGTAATCGAGGAAATATGCTCTCTGGAGAACAGCACAACTTAGTTTGCTTGTATATTAGCAACCTCACAAAATGCTGTTAGAAATATTCATAAGATGTTTGTGCAAAGTTCAATATTTACCCAAAGGTTATATAAAAATATAAATGGGACCAATTAAAAATAAAAGAGAAAAATCATTGATACAAAAATGTATAAAACAGGATTTAGAAAAGACAATTGGAACTGTTAAAACTTATAATTCCAAACATCAAATATATATAATTAATTTGATCTCAGTGGAAAAAAGGTGACCAAACAAAATAGCAACTATTTATACAATTGCGTGCTGATCTATTAATTTTTTTCTTACAGTACAGGCCTTGAACTTGTTTTAAGAAAAACCAAAATTAGCATAAGTAAAATTAGCGCTCTAAATGTTGGATTAAATTTAAAAACTTTTGATTTTGTCTTGTAGTTTTTCCAAACTTGTTGCTCTTTTTTTTCAAAATATCTCAAAAATATTTTTTACTTGTTTGTGTTTGATTTGCTACTTAAGTTAAAAGTATGTCAGCTATCTTTGATCTGACAAGAATTTATTGGTGCATTTTAAATTTCTTAACTGATTATGTTTTATGACCAAATCTCCTAATACTGCATTATAATTTCTTTACAGCAATAAGTATTTCATTTCTCAGTTCCACTCATCAGAGCCTGCAGAAATAACTTATTCAGATAATAAATAATTGACATCTGATGTTTCCTTAAAGCATATTTCCATGCAATATTATAATATAATTCATATTTTTGAAATGTAATGTTCTACTTTTTTCTAATAAAATCAAGGGAAATTATTAAATAACTCTCTTTATTAAAAGTGATAAACTATAAAAGTGCTGTGCCCCATCCTCCAATTCTGAAACTGCCCAAAAATCGTATCACACTAAGTATTACTGATCCCATTTTATATCTTACCAGCATATCTGGAAAGGGCCTACTTATACTGCTGACCATATAGCTATAACACATAACATTCAAAGGGGTGTGATTTTTTAAAAAAAATAATGTTCTTAATTTCAACCCTGTACCACAACATCTGTCTCTTAAAAAGCCTCCTCCAGTTGCATAATATTGTGGTTACCCCCTCATAATACTCTGATCATCCCATCCCAGCACTATGAACCAATTGAATTCTTTTTTTTAATCCTGAAAATTGTGAATTGGCCAACTGTTTAATGATCAGTAGGTGGCAACAAAGAATTAATGATGTCTTGTTTCTATGTTGCCATCTGGTGTTCATCTGGATATGTGGAACCAATATGTAGCTGAGAACTGGAATTTGAGATAGGCAGTTTATCTTTGGGGATCAGCGTGGAAATTGAAAATTACCATAGAACATAATGTGAGGAGAAGAAGAAATGAACCAGGACTTTCATGGAGCACTCAAGCAGGGCTACTAAAAGGTAATTCCCAACCCCATAGGCTATGATTCTTTCAGTTACTTTTTACATATATTCAGCCAGGCATCAGCCAGGCAACGTATATGGATTTGCCCATAGAAAAATAGATAATTTGTGACCCGGGGAACCTTTGCACAAATCAATCTTGTGCACCAATTGCAAGTATTTCTGGATTTGGAGGCCTAGTTTACAGTCACAAAACTGAGTCTTAGTCACTTCCATTTTACTAGTTTACTGCTTTCATTTTACTTGTTTAATGCAGTGTGGTCTATGTGGACCTGTCCTTGAAGACTATCCAGAACCTGAATACAGCAGCACACACAATCTGGGGTATCAGGTAGTTCACCTGAGTAACATCATTGCCGTGAGAGGTACACTGGCTTCCAGTTACTTTCTATGAGCAATTCAATATACTGGTTATCACCTATTAAAGCCTGCATGGCCTAGAGTCAGGTTACTTAAGGGACCACCTCTCCTTGTGGATATCTGCCCATGTTACTAGGCTAGATGGAATTGATGCATTGCAGATCCCCTCCTTTAAATATTGCCATCGGATGGAACTCAGAGCTCTGTCTTCTGGGTGGCTGCCCCAATTCTTTGTAATAGCCTTCTATTGAAGATCAGAAGAACACCTACCCTTTTAATCTTCTGGAAGACTGAAGAGCTGGCTCTTCTTCCAAGCATTGGGTGTGGAGGGGGAATTCAATTGTGATAATGGTTGGTCTGGTGCCTGGTGGTGGGAAGGCTTCCTTTTAACTATATTTTATGGATCACTTTGAACAGCCTAAGGTGATTGTATGAGATTGGGGGTCATATGTATCCTGTAAATAAACGAGAAGTCGTTTTATCTGCAAGAAAACATTTTAATCTGAATGTTAATATTCTAGGAAATTAATGTATGTGCAGAAATTTTTGACTTCCCTTGTTATATGAAAGTATTCTCTAATAAAGAATATGGGGGAGCAAGGCTTCAGCTGAACCATGTACAAGCAAAAGTAAATAATTATGAATAGTAGGAATTAGACTGAAAATGTAAACAAAAGTGCTTAATTTTTTTATTAATGTCCTTTAATCTTATACTGTGTAAGTATCTATACTTTTAAAATATGATTTTAATCTTTATCCAGGCAAGATGGACAGTACATACATTTAATAAATAAATAAAATGTTCTTGGGGCTAGCATCTTTTAAAAAAAGTCTTTTAGAAGAAAAATTATTGCTATTCTGCTATTTCACAGAAGCATGAGAGTCATGTACATATATCAGAAAAGAATGTAACGACAAATGTGCCTATAGCAATGGAGATAACATGCCAATTATAATGTGAGAAATTAGCCTATTTCTTAACATGAAAATAAAACTTAACAATTCTAGAAGGAGGCATGCACAGACTAGTTATTTACAACTGATTATAAAATGGCTTTCCACTCCTTGCAGTTAGCAGTGCTTTTCCCTTATGTGTTAAATAAGGCACTTGAACTCGATTTATAGTGTCTGGTGTTTTGACAGAGCAAAGAATGAACTACAGAGAAGAAATTCTTCCAACAGTATCAACAAGGTGCTAATGATCCCTATAGTTGATATAGAAAATCTACACATGCTTGGACCAACTTTCCACACATCACCCTCATACTGTAGATAGAGACCTATCTGGAGCTTGGAAAGTGGAGGTATTTGGTCTAAGCATTGGTGTTATGGCAGATGAGCTCTCCTTTACCTCACCAGATATGGTATTTTTCACTGTTAAAGGTATCCTCACCAGTGATGTTCCATAGGGTGATCTCCCACGTCAGAATCTTTTCCAGGTTGGCAGCAACATCGAATGTAGCCCCAGTTTTGTGAACTACTCCAACTCTTGTATTGTAGGGATGAGTCTGTAGCCTCTCAGAGCACCTTCAAAGTGTTCCACCATTCTCTGGACAATGCAGTCATCATCCTGCATAAGGGCCAAGTTATAGAAACAACCTTTCAAGAAACTTGGAGCCAGTAACAGTATAATTAGAATTAGCCAAAACCCTAAGACACATCCAGTTTTCCACTGCAGCTTATTGAAACCAGTAATCACCTCCCCCCTGCATCCTGCGAAAGGACCATCTCTAATTCCTGCACTTATCAAAGGAAAGCAATATTCAAAATTAAAGAAATCTTGGACTTCTTTAAACAGAGGAAAAGTGCAGTACTTAATAGCATGGAAAAACTCCCCCACCCATCTGAGACCGAATGGGTTGATGCCCAAAATGACAAAGCCCTCCAACTCATTTGCAAATTCCATAACAAATACCTTGGCAAACCTCAATGATACCCAGATGATACTAACCCTTTCTCTTATTTTTTTTGCTTCGGGTCTTTTTCAACATGCTAGATACGCCCCCACCTTGAGCTTTGCTTTGCATTGATGGCATTCTGCCATAAAAATGTGGGGGGGAGGTGGGGAGAAAACACTGAGAAATGATATGAATCAGAGGTGCCAATCTGAAACAATACATGAGAGATGCAAGGACATAGGCTTCAGAATGGATTGCAAAAACCCACCAAATGTGAGTTACCAAAATATCTACTTTGCATACACTGGACACTGACCAATTTAGTAAAAATATACCTTTTCTCTACTAATGGAGTCAAGGGTCTTTCCTAAAATGCCCAATTTGGGACAGGGCTGACACATTCTTTCGGGTTTGATCAAGTCGATGTTATCCTTAATGATCAAGTTTTTGCACTTGATTTTTAGGAAGTACTCACCTTTCAAAAGATCTGCAGGAACTGCACTGCTCTCTTATCAGCCATATGAGCATCTAAGGCTATGAGGCCAGCCCAAACTTGAATGCCATTCGCAATCTCAATGTTGCCAATGTCAAGCGGGTCCTCTGCTTCTACCCTCCATGTACAGAAGACCATAGCAGCACCATTGACCTCAAACGCATCTTTGGCAGCATACAAGATCTAAACCCTTAGTTCATATTGCAAAGAAATAGGAAGCTGGATTGGGGAAGAGGCTGGATGTTCAGGTTGATAAATTGCACCTGCAGTGCAATAGTATCAATGTGACTGGTTGATTGTGGCTGGAATGGACTCTGCATGAGAGCTATGGCATAATACCTGTTTATAGGCAGGTTTATAGTTAATTGGGCCCCAATTGAAATTCTGGCTTTTGTTTTATTTGCTGCTCATATTTTCTTGCATGCAATACACAATCACCTCTTCAATAAGTTGATCCAATTCTTGAAATCCTTGTGCCCATTTATGTGGGTTGTTGAAATGGCTGGGTAATGCCCCGCCTTGGCTACCCATTAAACAAATTCAAGTGCACAAGCCTTGATAATTTCTTGCACATGGTTAGCCTTTTTGCATCAACTGTAGGGCAGCCCATACTGGTCCATGCTTGTATCTGCAGTTGCTTTATCGTTGCCTTGTTTGCATTCATACCTATATCCTAACATAAGCTTTTCATGCTTATATCCTATCATAAATATTTCTTTAATATAAAAATTATTCAAATACATCATAAGACTGCTTTTGCTCATCTAAAACTAGCTTGAATTTTTGTCTGGCACATGGTTCTTTGGCCCTAAGCTTTTGTGTGAGTTTTGCATTGCCACAAACTTGCCTTGGATTGCACCCCAATTCCACAACCTTAAAATGGCACTGGTATTTTTGCACTTTTTGGTATCCCGACTCGCTGAAACCAATAATGCCCAATGACCTTTTCTTTTCATTGCAACTTGTTGTCTGCTGTTGGAAGAAATATTCATCTGGTTCTCTTCCAAACTGGGAGAAAGACACTAGAAATATGGAGCTGATTGAAAAGAAAGTTTAATGATGAACAGAACCAACAGCAGTTCTGGATCAGCTGACAAAATGGAGTTGAGAGTGGGTTTTTTTAATACCTTCTTAGGGCTTTGTATTTGAGCTTCCTGTTCCTGTGTAAGAACATGTTCTTTAATATTCCATTGGCTGTTGTCAGATTCCTATGGGATCATATAGAGGTTATGTAGGGGTCATAGCTGGCTCTATAGGCAAAAGAGAAAATGGAAATCCTAGGTGTTTATCTGAGCTAATCTGGTCAACCTCTATCTTAATGGCTCTCATCCAGTGTTAGATCTTGGGTGAGGGGCTGCTTTTATCCTATCACTCTACTTTTGTTATTGGTCAATCTTTGCTGCAAGCAGTTTTAAAATATCCTGTCTTGAATAGATTTCTTCCTGCTTTGCTTATGAACAGAGCTGTCTAGATAGTTGACAACTTATTTCAATAAACATTATAATTCTAAAGTACTGGCATCTGCTGTGGGCTATTAAGAAAGAGTGGGGGTGGTTTCTGCCTCTAAAACATGTTTATTAATTTATTTCTTTGGGGAAATATAATATTCTGCCTTCTTAATATTCCTCAAAATATTTCATTCTTTGGGGTGGTGGGTGGCTTCCCACACTGCCCAATTATCAGTCAGCTACATGCTTTTTCCCATAACCATTTTCACTGCTTACAGCTTGTAAGCAATCTAATATTGCGGAGATATTTCTATAATCAACTTAATTAATTAAATTGAGATGACCAGAAGAGCTGCTACGAGACAGATAAATAACAGGCTCTGATGAGTTCCATGAAAATCCAGCCTGACAAACTTGTCGGTGTGTGTGTGTCTTCGGACCCGAGCTGTCTTGTGGGGACAGTGAAGGAGAAGTGCCTCAGATGATCAAGAAGAACAAAACTAGTTCCTCACAGGTCAGAGGCAAGATCCTTGAACCAGCAGTGGCGGCGGTGGACATTGTAAAATGTCCGCTCAGAAGCTGGGGCAACCGGACTAAGTATTGATGCAGGAAAGGAGTCTGGATGAAGTGATGAGACTGGGTGAGTAGATTTGCTAACCCACTGATATAAAAAAATTGAATTTTGAATTGGGAAAGACTTTTTTGAGCCAAAAATAGTGATTAATTGATAAATTGGGAACTTCACAGAAAGAAAAGCGGGGGGGAAAAAGCGGTTTAAACTACCAAAGCCCAAGGAGACTTGTTTGTTCTAATTAATTGGAGGAGGAAAGCGAGAAAATGATTGGCTAACCCACAAGTATAAAAATTCTGAAGTTGAAATTTGGAAAGACTTTTTTGAATGGAAAATAGTGATTAATTGATAATTGGGAACTTTACGGAAATAACAGAAAAGAAATGATGGCTAAAATACCACAGCCCAAGGAGACTTGTTTGTTCTAACTTGTTTGTTCTAATTAATTGGAGATGGAAAATGAGAAAAGGAAAACTTGAGAAAAAAGTTTTGTTTCTCTTGTTATTATTTTTATTTTCTTGATTTTAACATTGTTGTTTTTTTTAAATACGCTGGACTGAAAGAATTGATGATTGGAGCCATCTACTGAAAGGAAGAAAGTGTTACTTTGTAGAAACAAAGAAAGTGAAACTTAAAGACCTGACCTTGATGTAGGGGTTTTTTTGTGCAGGCTGTTTGGTTTTGTTCCTCTTCAGCTGTGGAAGAAAGGGGGAATTTTCTTTTTTGGTGGAATTGAATTGGAACATTTGAATTGGACTAGAATTGGAAAATAAGACGAAATTGTGGACTTTAAACTTTATTAAATTGGGATATATTTTAAAAGGGAAAAATTGTAAATTGGGCAGTATGGAGAGTTCGGAATTTGAATAAATACTGTATGTGATATAAAAAAATATGCATGAAACATTAAAACCAAAAAGAGATAACAAGCCAGATATTAAGGAGAAACAATAAATAACATTGAAGAAGATGATGATGAAAGCAAAGGAAACAAAGAGTAATAGAAGGAAATTAAAAAAAAGATAATTTCACTGGGTTTGATAGTGGCATAGAAAAAATAGAAAGGGGGGGAGCGTTTCCCAATAAAGGAAGGAAAGTAAAGAAGAAGGGAATGAATATGATCAGACAGGCACAGAGAAGAAGAAAGGGAGCATCCCACAAAAAAAGCACAAAAAGGAAAAGGGGGAAATAATGCAAAGAGACAAAAGAAAATTGTGACAAGGCAATCTGAATGATATAGGAAAGAGTGATTAAAAAAAAGACCTGGAAGGAAGGATATATGAATAATAAAAAGAAAAAGAAGTTTATATTTATTTATCAGCATATATATATATATATATATGTGTGTGTGTGTGTGTGTGTGTGTGTGTGTGTGTGCCAATTACCTCCCTGCGACCAATTAGATCNAGAAGTACACCTCTTATAAGTTCTTATAAGAACTCTGGATCCAAAACAGAGAAATCATCTTCAGGCCTCAGGTATTTATCTATCTATCTATCTATCTATCTATCTATCTATCTATCTATCTATCTATCTATCTATCTATCTATCTATCATCAGATTTACATTCTGTGTCTTTTACAGATATCTATTTTGCTTTACAACAATCATACCGTGAGGTATGTTGTACTGACAGACTATGACCCAAAGCCACTCAGTGAAATTCTGTGGTGAAGAGTAGACTAGAACCTATATGTCCTCACTACTAGTCCTTTTCTATTTTTCTTTTAAAGCTGAATAGTGTTACACAACGGATTCATTCATGAACAGAAGTTTTACTCAATGTTGTTGCTGAAACACTAAGCTATATACGGTATCTTGAGAATTTTTGGGGTCATTACTCTGTGTAAAGGATAAGTTCTTAAAAAGCACATTAGAGTCACAGCTTGAAAACTATTTACAAGAGTATTAAATGATGGTATGGAGTGTGTACTCATTACTGTAATTTATTAATTTTCACTGTGTAGATGGATTTGCTCCCATGTATTATTCCACTTAGTCAGTGCCGTTCTTGCCATTTTATTAATGAGTGTATCTTTAAATAGTCAGACCCAGAACTTATGATGATAATGATATTGATATCCATTCAGTCAAGTCCGACTCTTGGCAATTCTATAGCCCAGTCTCTTCATGTCTTTCCATCCCACTATTTCTTTGAGTTTTCTATGCTGTCTTGTCAGCTTTGCTAGTGTCTACTGTGTTCTTTGGTGGTCTGGCTTCTTTTACATCTCACTTTTCCAAACATAATTGCTTTCTCCAGTGAATTCTCTCACATGACATGGCCAGAGTAAATGAGACACAGTGTCAGGTGTGCCTCCTTCAGTAACCAATTGTTTGTGGAATTAAAGATACTTTTATTGGTTATGAAAAGATAGCAGCGAAAGAAAAGCAAGATCTGAGCCAAAAAGGTGCAGACATGTACATATCAAACGTTTGCCCAGCACCCACCCCCCAATTTCCCCAACCCAATGACCAATCTGCAACAAAAGGTGCATGTGGGGTGCATCTTCAAAAACCTCATTCAGATGGTATGCAGAGACCAAGTCTCGACCAAGTCCAAACACAGGCCATCGGCATGCACAGAAGATGGTGAGAACAAAACTCCCTTTTAGACTATCACTCCTGTACCATTTATTCCCATCCCCAATACCATGCCCCCTCCCTCCCCGTTTCTATGGCGGCTGTTCCGACAGGCCTGGGGCTAANAGCTCTCATCAGCTAGCCATACCCTTATATATATATAAATTTTTGCTGATAAATAAATGAAGAGTATAATATAGTGTATGGAAAGCAGAAGAGCGAATGAGTGTTGTGAGTAGATGGGAAAAGGAATTGATATAATATTGGATAATACATAGTAATGTTTGTTAAGATGTAATGGTATATGTGGATACTTATATGAAAATAAAAATAAATTTTTTTAAAAAAATCAATTAATTAAATGAAATTCACAGTTATTCCACAATTAGAGATTTGGTATAATATCTACCGTATATAATGAATAATGACCGAGCAAATTAGAAATGTCAAAAGACATTTTGGGATCTGTCATCATTCAGATGTCCAGGCTGGAAAGAAGTCTTGTAATGCGGCTACCCTTGCGGATGCCCATATACATATGTTTTTGTTCATAAACTTGCAAAAATTACAGTGAACTACAGAAATAACATGCCTATTGTACCTGAGCTGAGTTGCCATGATGTCCTTAACGAAATTGGTAGGCTGTATCTGCTCATAAACAAACACCGTGTGATCTTGACTGGAATAGTAGTCAACAAAGTTATGGATAAACACAAAACTAAACTGTTCAGTCTTGCCTGGGAGAATAGTAACCAATCGAATTTGGGTACTATAATCAGGAAGGGACGTGGTGGCTCAGTGGCTGAATTTGTAATGGTCTGTTGAACAAATGAGGAAGGGACGCATTTCAGGCCTTTTGCAAACTGGCCTTTGGCTGTTCAGAAAATTTTGCCGAAATCTGCCAATATTCATGAAAATACATGTTAAAAGGTAAAGGTTCCCCTCGCACATATGTGCTAGTCGTTCCCGATTCTAGGGGTGGTGCCCATCTCCGTTTCATAGCCAAAGAGCACTGTCCGAAGACGTCTCTGTGGTCATGTGGCTGGCATGACTAAATGCCAAAGGCACATGGAATGCTGTTACCTTCCCACCAAAGCTGGTTCCTATTTTTCTACTTGCATTTTTTACATGCTTCTGAACTACTAGGTTGGCAGAAGCTGGAATAAGTAGTGGGAGCTCACTATGTTATGCGGCGCTAGGGATTCGAATCGCCGAACTGCCGGCCTTTCTGATCGGCAAGCTCAACATCTTAGCCACTGAGCCACCCCATCCCCTTGTTAAGATTTAGATTTTAGATTTTTTTTTTTTTTTTTTTT